CATGTGCGCTACAGACAATGTGATATGGTAATGAGAGTTTAAAGCCGCCTAATAGATGCTTTCTTCTCTTAGTGCTTCTGTCCCTGTAATGGAAAGAATGTGGAGCCTTCTACAGGGCAGAAGACCCAGTTTCTTCAGTACGTAAATGGTATGAAAAGTGAAGGAGGATGATCCTGCGCCCCCGCCGTGCGCGGGCACCCGCCGCCCGTCCCGACCACGGCCTGGCGCGGGCGCGGGGGCGGGGGCCCGCAGGCGGCAGGCCGCGGGGCGCAGGCCGGCCTCCCCTCTCCCCTCTCCCCGCCGCCCGGCAGCCCCGGAGGCCGCGCACGGCCCAGGCCGGACCCGGGCGCCAGGTGCGCGGCGGCCGGGGCAAGGTGACCGCAGGCTCGAGCCCGGCGCCCACCTTCTGAGCGGCGCGCACGTTGTCCTCGCCGAACAGGCTGCTGACGCTCTGCGAGAAGGTGTTGACCGTGCGGCGGTAGCTGTTCTTCTCGGTGCCGCCGCGGCCCCGCGCCCCCTGCGCGCCCGGGGCCAGCAGCCCGAGGAGCAGCAGAAGCAGCAGGAGCCCAGCCCGGGCCCGGGGCCCGCCCGAGGCGCGCGCGCCCATCCTGGGGCCGGCGGGATGCGGGGTCGGGAGCGGGGCTGAGGGCCGCACCGGGGACGCCGCGGCTCCGGCGGGGGACCGCGTTGGCGCGCTCGGGGGGCCGCGCGCCGCGCCTGTGTCAGCCGCCACCGCCGCTGTCGCAGCGCCACCTGCCCCGCCCCGCGCGCAAAGCCGCGACGGCCCTGCCCACGCCTCGCCCCGCCCCCGGACGCGGGGTCCCGGCCAACGACCCCGCCAACGTCCCCGCCAACGTCCCTACGAGGGGCCGCGGAGGCCGGAGGCTGCTTTTTCTCCCCGCCCCCACTGAATGTGTGTGTGGGAGGTTAACCTTTAACAAGTATATACTAATTTTTATTTTTAACTTTTCGGTAAAAAGCAGCCCGCGCCCGTAAAACTTGCCACGGCCTCAGCAAGGATAATGACCTTAATTGATTGGAGAACCAGATACAAACATGTCACGGAGTTTATAACGATCCCCAATCCTTGGCCACCGTTGGCGATGGCAAGGGCCCCAGCTCATCCACTCATCCATTCTGAAATTTTGAAATAAAGGGGAAGCAGCGAGCATCCCTCCTGCCCTTCCTGAACGAACTGTAATTCAGCATCACGGAATAGGTGAGGAGGGAAAGTTTTCGGAAGATGAAGTCCAGCTGGTTAAAAAAGGAGGGCGCGAGAGAGTTAGAGAATCATGTTGCACCCCGTTCGTGAAATGATGGATGCAGGAGCCGGGCAGCAAGAGACTGAAACCAAAAAGGTGACTTGAAAATGGAGAGGCCTCGCTCTCCTGACCGGGACGCGCCCTACCCTAGTAGCAGGAAGTACCCGCGCCACCTGCGATGGATTCTTGCCAAAACACTTTGAACCCTCCACCGATCTAGCCTCTGTATCTAACCCAACAGTTTACAGGAAATAGGGGGGCATGGAGGAGAAAATGAGGAGAAGCCTCCGGTCAAATCCAGAATGTGGAGCCTTCTACAGGGCAGAAGACCCAGTTTCTTCAGTACGTAAATGGTATGAAAAGTGAAGGAGGATGATTGATTTTAAAGGACTGAAGAGCCATCATTAAGCAAATGCGACACGAGGGCCTAAAGCAAACCGTGACCAACCAGACATTTTTTTTGAGACGGCCAGGGAAATAAAACTTAACCTTTGCCAATCCAAAGAGTGAAAAATTGTATCTTATTTTTGAACTTACCCTTTCTCTGGATTCCTGGTGAAGTTTTCATATATTTATTGACCACATATTCTAAGGTGTTTTTTTTTTTAAAGATTTTATTTATTTGACAGAGAGGGAGCGCTAGAGGGAGTAGAGGGAGTGTGAGAGGGGGAAGCAGGCTCCCCGCTGAGCAGGGGGCCAATGTCGGACTCGATCCCAGGACTCAGGGAGCATGACCTGAGCTGAAGGCAGATGCTTAACCAACTGAGCCACCCATAAGTTCTTGTTTTTTAAGAATACTTTTTTACTGAAGTATAGCATACAAACAGAAAAATACCCAAATCATAAGGCGCTTTTGTATGAGTTTAAACAAACAACACATGAGGTAACCAGCACCCAGACCAGTTTACCGGCCTCTGGGGAAAGCTCCCTTTGTCCTCTCCCACTCACTATTTCCCCTCCAAAATTTGGGGAATTTATTTTGCCTGTTTTTGGAACATGATGTACATGAGATCACACAGTATGCTCTTTTGTGATTGGTTTCTTTTTTCAACATATTTACGAGAGATCTTTTTCATTATATTTTCTGGAGATAATCCTTTTATTTTAGGAGAAAATATAGGAGAATGTACTATTACCTACTTAATTTTAAAATGGGCACACTTTTTATTTGTTTAAATAAAGATATTTAAGGGGAAAACTGCAGACCACAATCATTCTAAGCTATAAAACCCACGGAACCAGAGGTTTGATCTGCTAATTATGTTTTCCCCCACAAAATCCATTTAATATATATCTTTATAAACATGTTCATACATTCACTACCTAAATCCTCTCATGCACCACCTGTGTGTGTGTGGAGATTTGTTTTTGCTTTTGTTTTTTGGGGGCAGGAGGGAAGCTAATGCAATCACATTCTTCATTCCTTCCTATATTCAATAACTACTTATTATCTACTCTGCAGCCAGGTCTCGTTCTAGGTTCTAAAATTCTAAAATCCTAATGCCTTCACCTTTTTTTTTTTTGTAACATATTTTAAATGTCTGCCCTTTACAAATTAATGTTTTTAACAGAGAAAAATGCTGCCGATATAACTGTTCCATATGCAAGATAATTACAGGATCCAGAAAATACATTATTTCCATGTGCGCTACAGACAATGTGATATGGTAATGAGAGTTTAAAGCCGCCTAATAGATGCTTTCTTCTCTTAGTGCTTCTGTCCCTGTAATGGAAACATTTGTGCCTTTTTACTACACAACTAATTATGTCTCTTATAGGAATATCAAAAAGTGCAAATGAACAAAAGACAAGAGGAGAGAAGTTTGCAATGGGGGCGGGGTTACATTTCAAAAGGTGACAAAACAGTCCCACTCCCAAGTAACGAAATTAGTATTAGCAGATTACTCAGATTTTGAGACTCAGCCACACCACGTGCGAACCACTCAGAGCTTAAACTCAGGCCTCCCCGGCGACCCCAGGCTTCGCTCCCGCCTCTAAATTGGCCCCGCCCCCAAGCCCGCTCTCCAGGCCCCGGTTATTCGCGGCTCTCGCGAGAACGCATCCCGGAAGTTTCGGGGCCTGAGCCTGGGGTCTGAGAGCCCACGTGGGCTGGGCTTCGGGGTGAGCGGCCGACTCGGCCCCGCCGGAACCGGGGCAGTACTGGGCGTCATGGGGAAGCTGCGCCGGCGCTACAACGTCAAGGGGCGCCTGCAGGCGACCCCCGGCGCCTCGAAGGGCCCCCCGGAGCCGCCCCCCGTGCGGCTGGAACTAGAGGGTAAGGCGTCCGGGCCGGACACTGGGCCGGGGCTGGCCTGCGCCCTGCCTCCGCGACTCTGGGGCGGGGGGACCAGGAGGAACCTCCTCTCCTCAGATGATCCAAAGAGTAGGACACAGTGACAGTCTAGTTTTAGCGGTGAATTTGGGGCAATCCCAAGGCTTTCTCGTCTGTGGAGTCCGGCACTAGTTTTTTTTAAGTTTTATTTAAGTTCTCTCCACGCCCAACGTGGGGCTCGAACTCTGAGATCAAGAGTCCCCCGCTCTTCCGACTGAGCCAGCCAGCCGCCCCCAGCCCTAGTTTAGTAGCATGGGGATTGTGGGCAAGAAAGTAAAGTAATCCCATCTATATCTCTGGCTTCTATTATAATATTCTTGCCAGCGACCCCTGAATATGTTTTTTAGCCCAGACATTTCTGCTCAGATCCAGGCTGCTTGACACTTCTGCTCAGACTCCCCCTCGTTAGTAGGAGCGCCCACTGTGTGCCAGGGTTTGTTGTAGGAGATGTAACAGGAGTTTGTTTTGTTTTGTTTTTAATCTCTGCCCTGCTGAGCTTAGATGCTTGTGGGAGGAGAGAGCCAGCCTCTCCTAACTTTGTGACACAGGGACGGACAAAGCCAGAGGCTAGTGGAGTCAGATGCTGCCCACAGGGAGCACAGTTTTGACCTCAGGCGTCCGCCGAAAGCAGGACCACATTCTGAGGGGAGCGCTGTTGCAGCATGTACCCTCCCTACTGGCACCCCGCCCCCTCTCCCCTGACCACTAGGATGGAGGTGCCCTGGCTCACCGGGGAGTCTGACACGTGGCGGGTGCTGGGCAGACAAGTTGAGAGAACAGTGACGGGCCTGCACCCCCATTCCTGTGTGGGCATTCAGGGGGTCTCACACATGGGGCAGGGGTGCCCATGAGAGGTGGCACGGAGCCACCCCAGAGAACATGGCATTAATGTGGACTCTGGTCCCTGGGCTGGGGGTTCAGGCAAGTGTGTCTTTTCAGATAAAGACAGGTTGAAAGGAGTAGATGCAAGTAATGCACTCGTTTTGCCGGGAAAGAAGAAAAAGAAGCCTAAAGCCCCTCCCCCGTCGAAGAAGGAGAAGAAGCCTCTGACCAAGAAAGAGCGGAAAATGCTGCAGAAAATCTTAGAACAGAAGGAGAAAAAGAGCCAGGTAGGCCTGTTCTGACAGGGTGTGCACACAGCTACCCACATTGGGGAGAGACGGGGTATGTGTCCCCCAACTTGATCTCTGCCACATGACTGGCCGAACTTTCTGGAATGAGGGGCATGCTTTGTGTCTGCATAATCCCATATAGTAGTTACTAGGCACGTGTGGCTAGCATGGTTGAGGAATTGAATTTTTTATGTGATTTAATTTTAATTCGAATGGCTTCTTGTGGCTAGCAGCCCCCATACCTGACTCAGCTCCAGAGCCTTCAGACCCTCCAGGAGCTCTGTCAGTCTGGATGAACCCAGGTTTGTTGAGGCCAGATGTTCGTTAACTGGGGAGTCAGCCCATCAGCATGCTCATCTCTTCTTTATTTGTCCTAATCATCTTGTGTCACTTATTTTTTAACTTTATTCTGGAGAATTTCAACCTTTCTCCCTTCATACTTTTTTAAGGAATACATTTTATAATGGGAAATTCCAGCATCTACAGAAATGGAGAACCTAATGCACTGAGCTCACTTGCACCCATCACCAGTGTCAGCAGCTGTCAACCCACGGTCCCTCGGTCATCTCCACAGCTGGCCACTTTCCCACCTCCTGGGTCAAAGCCCGGGTAGCATAAATCTGTATTTGGGTCCCGGGGTTGCTGAAAGAGAGGACCACAAACTGGGTGGCTCACGACAACAGGGATGTATTCTGTTGTAGTTCTGGAGGCCAAGGGTCTGAAATCAAGGTGTTGGGCAGGGCCCTGCTCCCTGTGAAGGCTCTCGGGGAGCAGCCTTCCTACCATCCAGCTTGGGGTGGCCCCAGGAATTCTTGGCCTCTGGTCACGTCTCTCCAGTCTTGGCCCCTGTCTTCACATGGCTGTCCCCTCTCTGTGTGTTTTATAAGGACACTTGTCTTGGCATTTAGGACCCACCTGAATAATGCAGGATCTCACCTCGAGATCTTTGACTTAATTACATCTGAAGAGACCCTTTATCCAAGTAAGATCACATTCTGGGACATGGCATATCTTGGGGGGGCACTATTCAACCCTGTATGCATAATATTTTATCCATACATATTTACAATTGTATCTCTAAAATAAGGACCATTTAGTACACCTAAATTTTTAAAAAATATCAATGTCCAGTAAAGGTCGAATTTCCAGTTGTTTCATAAATGCTCCCCTACCCCACCTCTTTTGTTTTTCCCCCCTTGTCATTTATTTGCTGAAGTTAATCAGGTTGGTTGTCTGTAGAGTTTCCCACAGTCTGCATTTTTAAAACTTCATGTCTGTGGTAAAGTTAAACACATTCCTTTGCCCTTCCAAATTTCCTGGAAATGGTATTTGGCTCTGGGGCAGCGATGCGCAACCAGGCCAGTTTTGCCCCAGAGGATCTCTGGCAGTGTCTGGAGACACCCAGTGGAGGCATGAGACACTGCCACACGGCCTACAGTGCACAGAACAGCAGAATGCTCTCTGGCCCACAGTGCCTACAGCACAGAGACTGAGGAACCCCCATCTGGAGACTTCATGGGATTCCCATTTGCCTTTCTGTCGAGGCCACCACCCAGGGCCCCCTGTTCGCAGCCCTGACACTCAGGGCCTGGAGCCCTTGGCACGGGGAGGCTCATTTTGCCGCAAGGGTGTCCTTTTAAAATCCTACGCTATATTTTTTTCCACCGTTCTGTACATGGTTTTTCCTTTTATTGATTGCAAAATACATAGACATATAAAAGTACATAAACATAATTTCAAGAGTAATAAAACTCCTGACCCGCTCACCATGGGAAGGAGGCCACCTGTCCCTGCCCCCATGTGCTCTTGAAGGCAGCGTGGGGACCCCTCGCCGGCACACCAGAGCCTCTCCCCCCTGTGAGGCAGCTGGGGAGCGCCACATCACACACACGGGCCCTCCTTTATTGGGTCTCCCTCGGATGGGCATCTGGATGGTGGATAATCCCTCCTGACACGCAGTGATGCAGAGACGGCCTGGCTCATGCAGCGCCAGACTCTGTCTGGGGCTAGAAAGCCACCCCGGCTCACGGGGAGGCGAGACCGCCGCCCAGCACTTGTAACATGACCTTTGGGTTAAAAAGACTAGTTGTTAGTGAGGCCAAAACCTGATGTAGAGTCTCGCTTCCTTTCCGACAAGAGGGTCGTCCTGCCAGATGATTGACACACTCGTTTCCTTCCCCAGCGAGTAGAGATGCTGCAGAAATTGAGCCAAGTCCAGGTTTCGGAAGCCGAGCTGAGCCTGTTCTACACCACGTCCAAGCTGGGCACTGGGGACCGCATGTACCGCAGCAGAGAGTGAGTGCGCCGGGCCGTCCTGCCAGCGCCCTGGGGGCGAGCAGACATGTGCAGTGGCAGCGGGTGGGGGCCCCGACGCTGCCAGAACCCCGGTGACACACAGGCTGCAGCGTTTCTCGGTCCAGCCATGTGGGGGTTCCTGCGACGCAGAGTCCCGCAGGACAGGTTTCCAGCTCTGGCCCACACGAGGAGGCTAGCATTTGCTTTTAGGCGGTCAGGGGTTAGGTTTGGCCTATCAGCAAGTTTTGTCGGGTTAACATCCGGTCATGAAGGCATTCAGGTCTTCCGCCAGCGTGTTTGTCCAGGTTCCCGGGGCGGCCGTAACAAAACTCCGCAAACCCGGTGCCTTAAAACAAGGGAAATGTATTCTCTCGTGGTGCTGAAGGCCGGAACCCGGGCTGTCAGGGTTGGGCCCTGGAAGCTGGAGAATTTCTCCCTTGCCTCTCTCCCAGCTTCTGGCGGTCTCCAGCAGTCCTGGGCGTCCTGTCCTCGCCAAGCTGACACTAAGGTTGGCTTGTCCCCCGGCGCGTCTCCATGTCTTCCTCGGTCTTCTCCTGTCTCTGTCTGTGTCTCTCTTTTCTCTCCTTGTGAGGACACCGGGCGTTGGGTTTAGGGCCCACCCTGACCCAGGATGCCCTCATTTTACCTTACTTATATCTGCAAAGACCCTGTTTCCAAAAGGGTAATATTCTGAGTTTCTGGACATGAATTCTGGGGAGGCACTGTTCACCCCAGTACAACCACATTAAAATCCAGGTTCCCACCTGGTCTTGAGCCACACTAGCTGGCCTCCCTGTAGGCAGCTGAGCCTTAGACGGAGCCCATGTGCCCCTCCCACCCTAGACCCGCCCCACACACTGCTGTCTTACTCTTAGCCTTCTCCCTTAAGCATTGTGCATTTATGGCTGCTGTGGGTGCAAACTAGGCCCCAGGTTCTCCTCCAGGTCCTGGGGGTAGAGGGGTGCACAAGAGTGAAATAATAAGTAAGCTTCCCTTAAGAAGCTTACATTCTAATGGTGGGGAGATGGACAATAATCAAATGAATATGTCTATATCTAGTGCTGGGAGGCACTAGGCAGAAAATAAAGCAGGGAAAGAGGGTGGAGGGAGATGGGAGAGTCTCCCTGTTGGGTGACAATTGGGTCAAGTGAGGGAGAATGTACGTGCAGAGAGCAGGAATAGCGAGTGCAAAGGCCCTGAGGTGGGAAAGGGTGTGGCCTTTGGATCCTGACTTCTGTGGGGTATATAGCAACATAGAGCTGCGTCAGGTCTATTGTAGGACTTTTGTGCCTGACTTTTGGCTGTCCCAGCAGGAAGTCTGACAAGATCGAAGCCCAGGGACAGGAGAAGATCAGCAGCCTCAGCGGGGCCCACCGGAAGCACTATCGCCAGGAAGAGGAGGAATCGGAGTCCTCAGTGGAGTCTGAACCCGATGAGGCCCCTGCCGCTGAGCTGGTGGATACTGGTGCAGAGAATGGGAGCCCAGGGCCCAGTAGCCAACCCCGTGTGGCCGGGACTACCTCGGCACCTCCCGCAGCGGCGTCCACCCCGGCCAGGGCCCCAGCAAAGCCTGCCATCTTCGTTCCTGTGAACCGCACCCCTGAAATGCAGGTTTGCTGCTCTGGTGTTGGTGATCGGCGCTCAGGCTAGCACAGTGGGGGTCTGAGGATGTGGAAGGGGGGGCGTGCCTGATTCGAGCAGGTCACATCACCTCCTGTGCCCCAGCGGCCTCGCCTGGAATGGGAACAGCTGTTCCTACCTGGTAGGGTTGTCATGGAGACGAGACGCAGGAGTATGTGCACATGTGTCTACAGCAGACCCGGCACAGGGCCAGGGCTGTTGAGGTGGGTGTCAACTGCTTCTGTCGTCACCTGCTCACCATCACCCTCGGCCCCTGACCATGGGTCCTGGCCAGGGGGCCACTCAGCCAGACAAGAGCCAACAGCTGTGGAGTCCATTGACCTGAAGTGGACAGCTGGTTCCACCACTTTCTAGCCCATTCCTGGGCTTTCTTCGTCTGCAGAACGTGGGGCACAGGGGGCCCCCACCTCCATGCCCAAGTGTGTGCTGTGGGCCAGGCCCCGGGAGTGCGACCATCTGTAGCCTCCGGCTGTCAGCCCACCAGAGGATGCGGACCCCTCACTGTTGTGAACAGGGATGAGCCGTGTCGGAAAGGACTGGGGGCTGTGAAGGGGGAGAACAGGAGGGCCTGGGAAGCCATCTAGGGCAAGCACTAAGAGCCCAGCAGGAGCCAAGGAGAGGGTCTTTCCCACACTTAGAACCGCGGAGCTGAGTGCCTGAGGCAGGCGGCCTCCTGGGTCCAAGAGGGGCTGTTTCAGACCTCAGATTGTATTGTGGATATCCGTGGGATGTGACCAGCTCCTTTTTTTTTTTTTTAATGGGAAAAAAAAAACACGAAGATATCAGTGCAGTGTTCTACGTAAGAATAAATACTCTTTATTGAAACTGGTTTCAGTTATAGGTAAATTTATGTGCTTTCGTGTAGTTAGGGCAAGCTGACTGACTTTTTTTGAGAGAGTATTTGTAAGCAGGGGTGGCAGAGAATCTTTTGATTTTATTTATTCATTTAGAGAGAGCACAAGTGGGGGGAGGAGCAGAGGGAGAATCCCAAGCAGACTCCCCACCGAGTACAGAGCCCCATGTGCAGGGCTCAATCCCAGGACCCTGAGATCATGACCGGAGCTGAAACCAAGAGTCAGACGCTTAACTGACTGAGCCACCCAGGCGCCCCTAGATTTCCCTCTAGGTGAAACCAGAGCGCAGTGCCATCTGATGGCTGGTGGTGGTGTGGGATTTTGCTTCACACCATCATTCAGGGATCCGGGCTCCACCATCAAGTGTCCCTGCCGCCCGTCCCGGCTTTGTCCCCTCTCTCTGCTTGTTCCACATACATGTTCCCAAGCCATTTATTAGGTTTACCTGGTTTTATCAGGGACATGTCATTTTTTTCCCTGCATTTTGCTTTTTTGTTAGTTTTATGTTTCTGAGATTGATTTATCCACGTTGATGCATGTAGCTGAAGTTCATTTGTTTGGGTTTTTTTTTTTCCCCCCTGCTGTGTAGTATTCCACTATGTGAATAGAGCACAGTTCAAGTATTCTTCTCTCGCAAGTATTCCTTACACGTGCAACATTTTCTCTTGGGCAGTGTTTGCAAACTGAGAGTCACGGCTGTCATTGGTCATGAGAAGACCAGCACTTTTTGTTTTTGAAGCAAATAGAATAGAAATAGAGTAGAATTTTTTTTTTTAAATTAGCATGTGAGCATGCTTCACATAGTGAAGATAAGCAGTGGTTCTTAAAACTTTTTCAGTATATGATACAGTTGACCTTGAACAAAACAGGGGTTAGGGGCACTCCCCACGCAGTCAGAAACCCACATTCAACTTTGACTTCCCTAGAAACTTAACTGCAAATAGCCCCGTTGACCAGAAACCTTATCAGAAGCATGAAACGGTCAAATAATAGTGTTTTGTGCCTTATATGTATCGTATAATGTATTTTTACAATAAAGTAAGCTAGAGAAAAGATGTTATTAAGGAAGTCACAGGAAGAGAAAACACATCTATCGTTCTGGACTTTTTTTTTTTTTTTTTAAGTAAACTGTATGCCCAACGTGGGCTCGAACTCATGACCCTGAGATCAAGCATCGGATGCTCTCCTGACAGCCAGCCAGGCGCCCCTAGTCCTATACTTTATTTATAGGGAAAATACCTGTGCGTAAGGAAGCAGACCCACGCAGTTCAAACCCACTTTGTGTTGTTCAAGGGTCAACTGTACATGCATGTGCGTGTCTGTGCACATGTACGTAGTGAGTCACCACAAAATGTGTTCTGTGTGTGGGTTGTAGGAAAAGGTTTGAAAGTCACTGCTCTGGGGGCCCCCGGGTGGCTTCGTAGGTTAAGCGTCTGACTCTTGATTTCGGCTCAGGTCATGGAATCAAGCTCCACACTCAGCAGGGAGTCTACTTGTCCCTTTCCCTCTGTTCCCCCTCCTTAACGCAGGCGCTTGCTCACATGCTCTCTCTCTCTCTCAAATAAATTTTAAAGAAAGAAAGTCACTGCTCTGGAATACGTGTCTAGGGGAGGAATTGCCAAGTCGCGCATCCTTGACTTGGATAAAATTAGCGCCACGTTATTTACTGGAGTGATCATATATAAATGACCCCACACCGCTCCCCACAACAGCTGAGACCATTGTGTCTCAGGGGCCTCCTCTGCACCGGCCGAGCCGCCCCCAAGAACGTCTGCTCGGACACTGAAGTCCTCCACCCATATCTCTGTGTCCTGTGGGCTGGGGCCCTCTGTCCCTCTCCTCAGCGGTCAGGGGCTCACCTGTTCCCCTGTGGCAGGGCGTCATTGACTTGCTAGGAAGGCTCACAGCATCTGTGTGCCCATAGGCACCTTTCCAGAAACCGCTTCACCCTTCGTAGTCCTGTTGATGCCGTCTGCCATTCTGCAGGGGACTCCCCACCCCCCCCACCTTCCCTGAGCACTGACTGCTTCTCTTTCGCCAGGAAGAACGGCTGAAGCTCCCCATTCTCGCTGAAGAACAAGTGATCATGGAGGCGGTGGCCGAGCACCCCATCGTCATCGTGTGCGGGGAGACCGGCAGCGGGAAGACCACGCAGGTGCCACAGTTTCTCTACGAAGCAGGCTACAGCAGGTGGGGGCTGGCCACAGGGTCCTCCGTGGGTCCTTCGCGGGACAGTGGAGGTGCGATCCCCAAAAGTTATTCCAAACATGAGCCCCCACGGATCTAGTCCTGGCTCTGCCATTTATGTGCTGTGTGGCCTTGGGCAAGCTGCTTAACCTCTCTTGGCCTCCGTTTCCTCAGCTCTGAGATAAGGACAGCCATGGCACCTACTTCACAGGTTATGTAGATGGAATGAGGGAATTTGTGTAAAATGCTTGGATCAATCCCTGGCATGTGGGGCCATGCATTTGCTAATGTCGCCTCCTATTGGCACTTTTGACCCGTGTGTGTCATGGGTCCCCAAGACCACCCAGCTTCATGGATTTGCTGGGAAGGTTCATGGGACCCAGCCTGTAGCTGTACGCATGAGAGTGATTTATTAGAGCAAAAGAGCACAGAACCTAGCCGGCAGAGGGGAGAGGCGCGTGGGGTGAAGTCTGGGGGATCCAGGCACAGGCTTCCAGAATCCTCTCCCGGGAGAGTCACACAGAAGCAGCAAGTTGTGACAACACGTGTGAGGAGTTGTCACCAGGGAAGTCCAGTAGAGACGGAGTACCCGGGGTGTTTGTTGCAGTCACCTCGGCACCCTCTGCCTGGTACCTCCCCGAGTCCCAGATGCCCAGAAGGAAAGCAGATGGTCCGGCAGCAGCCACATCGTTTGTACAAACAGTCCAGGCACAGGACCGGGAGTCCTCCCGAAATTCAGATCCCACACGCCAGCCACCACCAACCCAGTACACAGACCTTTCCCAGGAAAGCAGCCGTGGGCCTGCTGCACTGTTTTCGGCACGGCCTGGAATCCGGCCCCTGTTCTCTTGGCAGGTTCTGTGTCGGGACGAGCACGTGCTCCCCTGGCTAAGGGCCAGCTGCCCCCGGGCCCCGTTCTAGCAGCCGCTGCGTGGTTTCTGCTGGGCTGCAACCACCGAAGCATCTGTGTGCTGACCAGCGGGCTGGTCCCTTTTGCTGTTCAGCTTGTCTGGTGCCCATCCCGTCACCCCTGGAGAGGGCCTCTCCACACCCCGAATCCTGACATGGACCCGCGTGTGACTTTGGGACGGACGAGCAGGCCCGTGCACCACTGATGTGTTGTGCTCTCCCTCCCCCAGTGACAACAGCATCATCGGCATCACGGAGCCCCGCCGAGTGGCTGCCGTGGCCATGTCCCAGCGAGTGGCCAAGGAGATGAATCTGTCACAGAGGTGAGGGCTCTGCCTCCCGGAGGAGGGGTCAGGGTGGTCCTCTGGCCTTGTTCGCGGGCCCTGTCCGTCCCAAGGGTGGTGGGTGGGAGTGTTGCTTCCGCATCTGAGTACGTGGAGATCCTTGTGCAAGAAGGCTTCCCACACTCTGGACAGCAGGACCTTCCTGGGGAGGGGGCCACAGAGCAAGGACCAGGCAGCCAGGCCCTGGTGGTCACTTCATGCGCAGTGCGCTGAGGACCCTGATGGGTTTGGGGGCGGAGCAGAGTGGCAGGCGGCCAGACACAGGCAGGCAGTGATGAGTGCTGGGCATGGGCGAATTATGTTAGGCGAAGTTCCTGAGTACAGACCCTCTGCTACAGTAAGCCTGTAGGACGTGCTTCGTCAAGTACAGCACTTGCTTGGGAATGGCTCGGGGCCGTGTTTAGAATGCACGTGCCTGGGCCCCAGTCTAGACCACGGTATTCAGGTTCGAAGGGGTAGCTTGTCCAGTGTGGTCTAAAATTGAGAAAGCACAGAAGAACATAGAGCTCCCTTCATCTGCCTTGTTAGTGAATGTTTAGGGAGTGGTACCTGCTGTGTACCTGGCCCCACCCCGGACTGGCATGTGAGTGGGGAGGCTTGTTCTGGTTGCCGGTGGGGGGGGGGCCAGGGTGCCCCCAGCATATTTTCTGTGGATCCTTCTAGACTTGTAGGCACAGAGAAGCAGCTGCGTGTATCTCTATTTCTTCCCGTCTGGCTTTTACAGAAATGGTTCCTACTGCCCTTTCCTTTCTGTGTCTTTCCTGTCGCTTTGAGTGGTATAGATTTGAAAATACCAATACATACAAAGCTGCCCTTTTTTCTCATCCTTTTTAACTTCTTATTGTGGACATTTTAAGCACGGACAGAAGTCGGAAGACTAGCGAATGAGCCCCTGCGGACCCTAAACCCAGTTTCAATGATTGTCAAGTCATGGCCAAGGTTGTTTCACCTGTGCCCCCCCCACCCCCCCAGGGTTTAGAAGCCCTTGCTGGCTGCAGAGAGTTCATCCTCAAGGTTCCACTGTGTGGGGCTGCAAGATCAAGACTGTGTTTTATTTATTTATTTTTTTATAAAAAATAGGGAACACAAGCAGGGGGAGTGGGAGAGGGAGAAGCAGGCTTCCCGCGGAGCAGTGAGCCCGATGCGGGGCTCGATCCCAGGACTCTGGGATCATGACCTGAGCCAAAGGCAGCTTAACGACTGAGCCACCCAGGCGCCCCAAGACTGTTTTATTTTTTGAGATAAGGACTCTTGAAAGCACTTGTAATACCCTTACCCTAACTAAAACTGGAGGAACTCTGGAGCGTTCTCATGTCCGCGCTCTTCTAAAAGGTTTTCAGAGTTGGTTGTTCGAATTGCGCTCCAGCCGAGGTCCGTGTCTGGTTGGTGTATCCTTCACAGGGCTGTGACAGCCCCCTCCACATCACGTTGGCACGGGCCGGGTGGCGTCCGTGCCTTGCTGGGGGGAGCTGCTGGGCCAGGCCTCTGCTGTCTACCTTGGTGTGGCCACGAGGCTGCAGCTGGTCGGGGCCTTGCTCGCCCTGAGCCGGAGCCTGTCTCTTCAGGGTCGTCTCCTACCAGATCCGATATGAAGGAAACGTGACTGAAGAGACCAGAATCAAGTTCATGACGGATGGCGTGTTGCTCAAGGAAATCCAGAAGGTTGGTCGCTCATCTTATCTCACAAAGCAAGTCCGATGGGCATGGGGTGGGAAGCGCGCATGTCACTGTGCGAGGGTGAGCAGTTGGCATGGTGACCGCCGGCAAAGCACCACACGGCACGGTGCCACTGTGTGACCATGGGTAAGTTACTTAACTTCTCTGAGCCTCAGCTTCTTGATCTGCAAGCCTGTACTTTTCTCATAATTTTCTTGAAGCAGAAACTTTATGACGCGTGGAAGCACCTTAGCATAACACCTAGAAGGTGCTCCTTACGCACAAACTCATGTTACCGACTTGAGTTTGGTTTGGTTCGCCGACTTTGTGCCTCAGCCACGTGCATACCGCTCCTTGCTGGCTGTGTGACGTCCACCTGGGTTGGGACCTCTGGGGAGGGCAGAGGTGATGCCTGTCTCTGCCAGGACACGGGTCACCCAGGAGGGTGGCTGTGAATGTGGCTCCGGTGTGGCTGAATACGGCTGCTTTGTGTCTGGTGTACGCTGCCTGATTGCCCTCGGTCCTGCCTGCCACCTCTCCGTTTCTGTTTCCTGCCTGCCCTCCCTACCTGACAGGTGTCTGGGTTTGGCAGCTTGGCTCTTAATGCATGGTAGCTGCCCTTCCTCCAGCACTTTCTTTGCCGGGTTCTGGGCCCCAGGCCATGCACCTTATAGTGACTGTCATGGAAACCTCACTGTGACCCCGTGAGGTGGGTCCTGTTGCCCCATCTTACGGAGGGAGAAATGGGCACAGGGAGGCGAAGTAGCTTGCCTGAGGTCACGGACCAGGTGCTCCAGGATCCATGTGAGCTGTAACGGGCTCCTTGAGGGGGAGCTGTGGGGTGTGAGTGACCCTGGAGCAGCTCGGGCCTGGGCTGGCAGGCCTCACCGTGCTGCCCCTCCCCAGGACTTCCTGCTGCAGAGATACAGGGTGGTGCTCATCGACGAAGCCCACGAGAGGAGCGTGTACACGGACATCCTCATCGGCCTTCTGTCCCGCATCGTGTCTCTCCGGGCGAAGGTAGGGCAAGGGGGGAAGCCAGGGAACCCCCCGAGAGCCAAGGGCGAGACTCCTGCGCCTTGTTGGGAGCATGGGCTCCCTGGGCCCAGCGCCAGGGCTTTGGCTCTCTGTATGAACAGCCCCTGTGGGACTCCACCCTATTGAAATCTAGCCTTGTGAGCTGCTACCCTTCCCTCCATCACTGAGTCTGTCATCCCCCAGAGGCACGTGCCGCTGAAGCTGCTCATCATGTCGGCCACGCTGCGGGTGGAGGACTTCACATGCAACCAGCGGCTCTTCCCCCAGCCGCCCCCGGTCATCAAGGTAGTGCCTGGGCCAGAGCCTCGGGCTGGCGGGGGCAAGCGGGGCCTGTCGGCGTTGACAGTTGGACGCCTGGTCAGAGGAGGCTGAGCACTTGGTGGAGGGGGGGGGCCTCTCTGCTGGTGGAGGCCCCACTCTGGGGAGTGAGTGCTGGGAGGCGTTAGGGAACTGCTCGTGCTGAGCTGGAAGCTCCGAGGTTGGACAGGCCAGGGAAGGGGGAGGCACCAGGCCTCGGCGGAGGCTTAGCGTGCGGCCCCGGTGCCTCCTTGGGGTGTGTCCCAGGTGGAGTCCAGGCAGTTCCCGGTGACGGTGCACTTCAACAAGCGGACCCCGCTAGAAGACTACAGCAGCGAGTGCTTCCGGAAGGTCTGCAAGATCCACCGAATGCTGCCAGCAGGTGAGGCCTTGGGGACCAGAAAGGCCGGACCTGCCCTCAAACCCCCAGTGTGCAGGCTCCGGGTTCCGGGCCTCCCGGTCACTGCTCTTTTCCCGTGGGGCACCCTTCCCCTGGTGGTGGACCGTCCGTAACATAAGCTTTACATCCTAACTGTTCGTAAGTGTGCAATCTGGTGGCATCAGGCGTTCACAACACAGGCAGGCCCCGTTTGCTGTGCTTGGCTTTATTGGCTTCCACAGACACTGCATTTTTTTCACAAACTGAAGGTTTGTGGGCAACCTTTAGTCAAGCAAGTGTGTCCGTCCTGTTTTTCCAACAGCACTAGCTCACTTCCTGTGTCAAATATCCTGGTAATTCTCGCAGTATTTCAGACTTCTTCATTATCGCGTTTGTTACAGCAATCTGTGGTCCCTGATTATGGCTCACCAAAAGCTCAGGTGATGGTGAGCAGTTTTTAGTAATAAGGTATTTTTAGTTAAGGAGTAGGAGTTGGTTTTTAGACACGATGCTATTACACACTTAATGGGTTACAGTGTGGCGTCCACATAACTTTCATAGGCCCCGGGGCGCCTGGGTGGCTCAGTTGGTTAAGCAGCTGCCTTCGGCTCGGGTCACGATCCTGGAGTCCCGGGATCGAGTCCCACATCGGGCTCCCTGCTGAGCAGGAAGTCTGCTTCTCCCTCTGACCCTCTTCCCTCTCGTGCTCTCTATTTCTCATTCTCTCTCTCAAATAAATAAATAAAATCTTTAAAAAAAAAAAAAAAAACTTTCATGGGCCCCGGGAAAGCAGACATATCGGCCGTATTAGGGTGGTCTGGAAGCAGACCCCCCGTGTCCCTGAGGTGTGCGTGTGCTGTGCAGCCGTCCCTGCCCTCCCTCTGCAGAGCGTTTTCGTCACCACCGGCCGAAGCTCCGTCCCCACTAAATGCAAACTCTCCACCCCCTCCCCTGGCCCCCACCATTCGATTTTCTGTCTCTCCGCCTTTGCCCATCTTGGACGTTTTATACAGACGGACTTAGGCGATATATGGGCTTCCGTGCCTGGCTTCTGTCACAGAGCATCTTGTCTTTGAGGTTCATCCATGTCGTGGTGGGTGTCCGCGCGTCACTCCTGTGTATGGTGGGACCACGTTCTGCTGTGTGGATGGGCCACATCCTGTCTAGCCACTCACCAGTTCGCGGACACTTGGGTGGCTTCTGCCTCCTGGCTGTTGTGAACAGAGCCGCGATGAGCACCCGCGTGCGGGTTTTGGGTTGCGTCCCTCTTTCCTGGTTTTCTGGGCTTATGCCAAGGAGTCGAGCAGCCAGGTCGTGCAGGAGCTCTGTCCAGCTCCCCGTCACACGTCCCCCGTCTGGGAGGCCACTGTCCGCTGCTCGTCTGTGTCTCTCAGCTCTTCCTCACGCCCAGCTCTTGGCAGCCTGCTCCGGGAATGCACGGATAGCAGAGGACTCTCGTTCTTTCCGCAGGTGGCATCCTGGTGTTCCTGACGGGGCAAGCAGAGGTGCACGCGCTGTGCCGCAGGCTGAGGCGAGCCTTCCCACACCCCAGACGCAGGCCGCCAGGTAATCAGCAGTGCTTGGCCCTGATAGCCGGCAGGTGGTCAGCTTCAGCTTCACAGCCTCCCTGTGTGAGTGCCGGCACCTTTGCCTGCCCTACCAGCCCCTGAGGAATGGCCAGCAGTGGGCGCCTGGGTGGCTCAGTCGGTGAAGCATCTGCTTACAGCTTGGGTCATGATCCCGGAGCCCTGCGGCAGGCTCCCAGCCCAGCAGGGGGCCTGCTGCTCCCTCTGCCCCTGCAGCTCCCTCTGCCTGTGCGAGCGCATGGGTGCGTGCGCGCTCTCTCTTTCTCTGCCTCACTGTCAAATAAATAATTAAAATCTTTAAAAACAAAGAAAGAAAGAAATGGCCAGCAGTGCAGCGACCTTACTCTGGACGGCGAAGAACAGTCCTCGTAGCCTGGGTCTGGCCTCAAGGTGTCTTCCTCCTCAATCTGTTCTTCTTGCAGAAAAAGAAGATCAAGAAGATTCAGTAGAGGAAATGCGGAAGTTTAAGAAGTCAAGGACAAGGGCAAAGAAGGCCCAGGCGGCGGTATGTAGAGGCTCGTGTGGTAGGGCCGGCTTGGGGCTCTGAAGCTGCCTTGTTTCTATGGCAGCTGACAGCCCCATGTAGCTGTGTAGAGGCAAATTTAATTAAAATGAAATAAGATTAAAATTCAGTTCCACAGTAGCATCAGACATGTTTCAGGGGCTCAGTAGCCACCTGGGGCTGCTGGTGACCATATTGGGCAGCATGGGTCTAAAACATTCCTGCCGTGGAAGGGAGTTCTGTTGGATGGTTCGGCTCCAGAGGCTGCAGGGTGGGCTGTGATTTCAAATATTTAAGGTTCCCTGTGCTGTGGGCCAGGAGGAAGCTTCTGGAAGGCTGGCCCTGAGCAAGGCCTGTGAGGCTCTCTGGGAGGGCAAACAGAACAAGGGCACGGGGTCCCTGGTGTTGGCTGTAGAACTGGGGAGGGGGCTGCTCTCCCCTGGTGTCCCCACGTTGTCGTCGTGGATCCATGGGTAACAGCGTCCTCATTTGGAGCTCACTAACCCCCCTGCTGCGTTTAGGACCCACCAGGCGGCGCTCTAAGTGCCTTCCGAGTGTTGCCTCGGTGCTCACGGCAGGCCTGCGACTGTGTGAGATGAGTCCTGTGGTTCTCTCCAGTGTTAGGGCGAGGACGGTTGCCAGAGCTTCCCGAGGCCTTGTGGCTCATGGGTGGGGGGATGGGGCCTCGTGCTTGAACGTGCTTGTCTTTCTGGCCTGTGACCTGCGTCTCCTGCAGTCTGTGGTTCCGACGTCTTGTTTGCCATAGACGTTGCCCCAGATCAGTTTGGACAACTACTCGGTGTTGCCAGCAGGCGAAGGCGACCAGGACAGGGAGGCAGAGATGGACGAGGAGGAGGAGGCAGCCCTGGGCTCCGACCTTGACCTGGACTTGGGGGATGACGGAGCAGACGGAGGTGTGGCCTGGGCAGAGCCCCTGCTCACGCTCCTTTGGTCATTCACTCGGCAGGTGTCTGTTGAGCACCTGCTGTATACCAGGCCCCGTTGTTAGGCCCAGACGCCTTTGTCTCGAGCCTCAAGAGAGCTGGGCTTGCTGCTGCTTTGTGCCTACTGTTTGCTGAGCTCCTTTAACTGCCTGGCAAAGTAGACCCTCAGATATTTGTAGTGTTGATTATAATGGGGGTGCTCAGCTTTGCTGGGTAAACGCAGGCCTCAGGGCTGGCTGGGAGGGCTGCCCAGTTCCTGGGCCCCCTGTTCGGAGTTGGGTCCAGGGCTGCATGGGGTCTCCCGAGGGCATCCAGCAGGGGGTAGGGCTCGTGGCCAGACTTCCAAGAAGGAGACTATATAGTGAGGCGGGCATTTCCCACCTGGATCAGGATCATGGAATCTCTCAGACTGTGACCCAGACTGTGCTCACCCACCGTGCCGGTCTGGAAGGTAGAGGCCCCTGGCAGCAGGCAGAACAGGTCGGGGGGGGCGCTGGGCAGCCTGAGGTGGGCGCCTGCCGTGGGCGTTTGGGAGTGGCAGCAGGCCTATGCTCTCCCTGCAGGTGAGCAGCCAGACGCCTCGCTCCCCCTCCACGTGCTCCCACTCTACTCTTTGCTCGCCCCAGAGAAGCAAGCTCAGGTAACAGCGTGGGGCCTCGGGTGGATGCTGGGTGGATGCTTGGCTGGGGGCACCATCCTGCCTCTTGGGGGCACCTCCTTGGGGCATCGAGAGAAGGGCAGGGAAGGCCCTGGGTTGTCCTTGTCATCAGATCAGCACCCCCAGTTTTAAAAGGGTGTTGGGATCTCTTTGGAGAACAGGAACACTTCCCTGCATTTATGCTGAGGAGTATTGTGGCCTGAGGCAAGGAGAGGGCCTGTCACCCTCACCACCTCTGGGGTCCCACCCAGCCTGGCCTGACTTCTCTCTGATCAAGAGAAATTTCTTGGCTCCCCCTCTGACCCCCACCCGCATGTGTCGCACAAATTCTTTCCTGATTCTGGTGGTTTTTTGGCTGCTTCCTCTCCCCAACAATCCCAGGTCTTCCAGCCTCCCCCAGAGGGGACGCGGCTGTGTGTTGTGGCCACCAACGTGGCCGAGACGTCCCTCACCATCCCGGGCATCAAGTACGTGGTGGACTGTGGGAAGGTCAAGAAGCGGCACTACGACCGTGTCACCGGCGTGTCCTCCTTCCGTGTCTCCTGGGTGTCCCAGGCCTCAGCCGATCAGCGGGCGGGCCGGGCGGGCCGGACGGAGCCGGGCCACTGCTACAGGTGGGCTTCCTTGGGCCTG